AATTGGCACGAAACATATGTGTGTGTTAGATAAATTACATATACTCGTATAAGCATACATACATACATACATACATGTGTGTGGTGCAGCAAAAGGAGCTAAAAAGGGATTAAACAGCAATATGCACCGTATTGTTTGCAGCTTTTGAGGGCAAAGTGTTTTAAAGGATGCGGCTTTTAGGGATTTTTTTTCTTAATTTTGCGCATAAGAACTGTACAAAGAAATAAGCGCATATCCTGCTTGGCTTGTTACTGGAGTCATAAGAGATTGTTTTTACTATGTGTGTGTGGCGCGAATTTAATAAAAGAATATATAAGAAATTGAAGGATTTTTTCCACTGGGACTTAAAGGAGTTACTTTGTGCTTTAAGTATTTTTATAATATTTTGTTTTTGAGTTTTTTTGTTTATTTTAAACTTTAAAATTTTTTTATTATCCAATAATTATATATTATAATATTTAAAAAAATTTAAACAACAAATACATTTAATATTTCATAAAGTATTTTATGATTTTCTTATTATAAAACTAGCAATTTAGCAAAAAGAGTGGCAACACTGCTCAAAGTTTGCTTGCAAGTTCAAGTTTTTATTATTTAAGGCTTTTTTCGATTTTCACAAGCCAAAAAACAATTCATACAAATCGTAGTTTTTTTTTTAAATCAAATATAGCTGCAAGCTTTCTCAAAAATAATTTCAATCGTAAGCTTTCTTCAAGATGTAGAGCTCGATAACTATAATGGAATATTTAATTTTATTTTTTTTTTAAATTTGCTTAATTTATATTTCCCAATGTAATCTTCCTTTACGCTGTTTCAGTTGATATCCATATTGTAGTATTTGATTTATTTGTTCTTCAAGTGTTTTTAATATTTACCTCAAAAAGGTGGCAACCCTTCATAAAAATGTTTTCTATTGCAACCTTTATAATCATTAAGTAGATTGATTTTCTCGGTCTTATTAAATTTTCTTTTGTTTTTTGATTATGTTTGTCTCAAATAAGTGGCAACACTCCTAAAAAATATTTTTTCACTTTAAACTTTCTTAGCTTTCTTTGCACATCAAAGGGAATTTTATAACATTTCATTTATTTTAGCAACTCGCAAATATGAAAATGAAATAAGTGGCAACGCGCTCGAAAAGTATTCTCCGTAAGCTTTCTAAATTCTTAGATGCTCGAATGACTCTACCTGACGCAATCTGACTTTCCCTGACATTAGGGCTCAGTAAGTAAGCATGAGTTTCAATCGTACAGCGGCGACCACTCACCAAAAACGAAAGCTGTAACTTATTGAGTGTAAAAAGAAGTTTTCACCTACTCAAGTTTTTGCCCAGCATTCATTCCCCTTATATGCAGTTCGTTTCACCTGAGCTGCGCCTCTGCCTACTGTAAGATAATATTGAACTTAGATTGCCTATTTTCTTAAGACAATCATCTTTACAGTTCCAGTTGCTCTATCACGACCCAGTAGTCATAGGTTGATAGAGAAATAGTTTGAAAACAGTTTCTTAACTCATTCTCGCTCTGTGAATATCTGGTTTGTTTTGATATAAGTGTTGTTCTGTTGCGGTGTTGTTTGTGAGATCAGCTTTCAGATAAACCCTAGAGAGGAGAGAACAGCATTTAAATATGGGATATCTTGTTTGGACTACGCTGTAAGAATTTTTCCTGCTTAATTCTGAAGAAGTGGTATTTAAATCTAGTTAAATAAACTAGGCAAACGCAGTTGTTGTCGAGTGGTTAGCATTGCGTACTAACACTCGGATTACCAGTATTCGAGTCTTGGTCGGACTAGCATCCAAAATTATAGGTTATTAATTTTTTTAATCACGGTCGCCCCTCAGCAGGCAATGCAAGCTCTCTAAGTGTATTTCTCATAAGAAATAGAAGCTCCTCATAAAATCGATCGGCCGTTCGAAGACGGCTCAGAATAAGTAAACTGTGGGTACATCTATTTGTTGGAAAAATACACCAAAAATTGAAAAAGAAGTTCGGACGGAATTTGGTTCGGCAGTTATGAAGCGCCAACTGGTATTTTACTAGTATGAAGCTAAACAGTAAAAAGACAATTGACATTTCGCAAGACTCGACTATATAAAATTGAAGCTAAACTAATAAAAAATTTTTGGCCAATTAAATGTAAATTAAACACAGCAATTAGTTTTGAGCGTAAATTGATATACAGTTTCTCTTTGAAGCAAACAACGCCCTGCCAAAAATAGGGAAAGTAATTTTTCATTTAAAATAAAATTAAATTTAAATTTAATATTTTTCTAACCAAAGTACACACTTATATATATATATATATATATATATATGTGCTTATATAAAGTCGGATATACATTAATTGAAATTTCCGCTATCAATTTGTAATAAATTTTTATTATTTTGAAAACATTTTTAGTGAGCGCAAAACAAATTATACAAAATGTATAGATTTTATGTAAATACAAAAATCAAGTAATATAAATATTTAGAAATTCAAAAATTAGCTCAAAGTTTCCCTTAATTGTAATTGGTGAAGAAGAAGTTAATAAATTTGGCCAGTTGATCGATTTTCGACAATTTGTGTCAGGCAACAATTGCGCTTATTTTGCAAAATAAAAAAAGAAACTAATTAAAATTTTTAAATAAATAAAAATAAAAAAAAATCAAAAGTATAAGTAAAATTCGAATAAAATGAGATTCAAACAAAATAAAATTCAAACAAAATAAAAATCAAAAGTACAAAATATTAAAAAAATAATTATTATAAACAAAAAATAAAAATTTTCTTCCATTTTGCAACAGAAACACAAATATAAAATTTTATTATTTGTTTATGCGATTTTCCACCGAACGCCGAAGCCTGTCAGCGTGTATAAACAAAAAGTCTCTGTTTTTTTTTGCCTTGCACAAAAACAAATCATAAATGTAAACATATTGAGTCTATTTGGCTGTGTTGTGATAGCTGCGCTGTAGGCGGGAGAATATATATGATAGGAAATGAAAAATTGTTGGAAAAAAAAACAAGCGAAGGAAAATGAGAAACTGTTGCTAGGTAAATATCGCAATATGAATAATTTTGAAACTGCATAAATGTGCTCATATATTGTATATTTTCGTATGTGGCTTAGTAGATGTGATAAACATGTCATGTGATCGTGTGGATGTCGTAAATTTAAGTCGAAAAATAGAAAATAATTGATATGCATTTATTTTATTTCTGATGATACCATAAAATTGAAGTTTAATTCAACCTGAATTTGAAGCTTACATGGTCGACGAGTAATAACCAGGTTGCTGATGGTATTATGTGATTCAATTGATGATTAATGTGTGATGTAATTTCAAAACAGATATTTTTTATTTTTATTTTTGCATTAAATAAATACAGCTATTTTTAATTTTTTTTCGAGTTTTCTTAAATTTTTCTGTGCTGACGTGATATCAAGTGATAAATAATCATGTGATGGACTGGCATGTGAGTTGATGCAATACAAGATATTAATAAATCGGTTGGATTTTATAATCACTTTTATTGTATTTAGCAAAAAAAAAAAATAATGGTGAAAATTTCATAGATGATGTGATATCATACGACATTTTAATTACGTTATTAAATGTCATGAGCTATGAAATTTTTTTCAACGAAGATATTTAAGAATCAATAAGTGCTGCGAAAGTTGTTAGTATACCAAAAACTATTACAAAAAGCTTATATTTTATTAATTATTTTTTTTATTAATTATTTTATTTCATTGTTTATATTATTTATTTTATAATATCTAACACTAAAAATAAATAAAATAAAATAAGCAAAGAAATCAGATTAAGTAAAAAGTGTACTTTTTAATTTTTGTTTACTTTTATACATACACTACTCGCATACCAACAGACAATGTTTCTGAAAACATTCACGTCTTGAAAATTTTTCTTCGCAATCTTGTGGTTGTGATGTGTTGACATAATGTGATGCTGCTGATATGATGTGTTGTATTTCCTGTATGATGTGATATCACTCTTAATAAATATTTTGCGCATGATTAAAGGAAATATTACACGAAAATTTGAAAAACTGTCATCATGTTACGAGTAAATCATGTTATCAAATGGTCAAACATAATCTGAATTTTAATAAAGCAAACAGAGTAAATTATCATATGAATGATATCATATCATTTGAATGATAATTTATCACATGATACCCAATCTTCTGATAAATTATACTTGTTTTTAAAAATTTTCACATTTTTAAGTTAAATATTTAGCAAATAATGCAACTTTTAATCAATTTACACTTTATAATAATAAATATATATCCCTTGAGGTCACATCACCTTAATCAATATTGAATGAAAGTGTGTAAATTGTCACTTGAATGAATAATTTTGTTTTACTTGAACTTGAATACTCGTCATATGATGACACATGAGCTGAAATATCACATGAATATTAAGAAATTCACCTGATTTTATATAGAAAATTCGAGCTGGGATGTCACATCACATGATATATCATAGAATCAATTATCACGTGATGTCAAACCTACTGAAATGTGCTTATTCATAACTTGAAAGTTGAGAAATTTACCTTTAATCGTATGAAAAATTCATCACATCACGTGATATAATTCATCACATCACTGATTAAATAATCCACTGATGTCACATCATTTGAAATATTGCTTTTCACAAATTACCAATTTTCAGTCTATATCAAATCAAGTTGGGTTAGGTTGGTTAAATAGATTTCTTTTTTAAATAAGTAAGCTAAAGTCCTGTGATGTTGTGATTATATATCGTATGAGGAAATATTGAAATTTATATTTTTTTTTTATATTTAGCAAATCCGAAAAATTAGTAAATATTTTTATATTCTGAAATTTTTTTAAAACGTTTTTTCATGATGAATATAACAGTTTATTTTCTTGGAAATTGTTTATTTATGATATTATATTTTGTTTAATTCTAATCAAATTTATGATTTTCCATTTTTAATTTTTTTTTGCTTTCAGCATCAATTAAATCTCCAAACAACTCAGTGCCTTAGCAACATTTTTATAACAATAACAACTTACAACAACTAATATTAAATATTTATAATAAAACTCAATGCGCTTAGCGGAAAATTTGCAAAATTTATGAATTCATCGCCGGAGCATAAACAATTAAGTGCTGACCTACACAACAAACATACAATAACAATTGCAAAATAGCTTCAATACTACAACAACAATCGATGAATAACAACGATAGCACAGACAACACCAACAACACAAATTTAACTAACCACATATACACAACATTTTATGGAACAACAAAATCCATTTTGGAATAGCAAATATGTTCAGCTCCACGGATGTGGCCGCAGTGCGTCATGTGGTGCAACGCATTTTGGTGCCATGTGTTTTTGTAATCGGTTTGTTGGGCAATTCGGTGAGCATATATGTGTTGACCAGGTGAGTGAGTGGTGAAAGTAAAGATAATGAAATTCCAAATTATTTCAAAAATTGAGCTTTGAAATTAAATATAAAATTTTATGAATAAAAGTAAGATAAAATTTATTTCCAAAAAAAAAAAATATATATATATAATATAAAATAATTTTTAATTTTAGTTAAAAAAATATATATTTTTTATTTAAAATTTATTTAATATTTTTTATATATTTTTTAAAAATTATTTTTATCAATTTTTTTATTTCCATTTATTTTTTTTAGAAAACGCATGCGTTGCACAACAAATATTTATCTCACCGCTTTAGCTATCACCGATATTATTTATCTCACAATGGCGCTGCTGCTATCGCTCAAACATAATGATTATGTGCAGCGTAATGTGGAGATATATTGGAAATGTTATGGTTATATAATGTGGCTATGTGATGCGTGTGGTACGTATGATAAATCACATGTGATGGAATTTGGTTTTGAAATATTAAAAATTTTCTGCACAAAGGGATGAAAGAGACGATAGGAGGCATGAATAAAAGCTTAGTTTAAAGGGAAAATGATTTATTTGTAGTTTTTTGACATTTTATAATTTTGATTTTTATAAGGATTATGTATTTTATGACAGCTGACAGCTGACAAGTGACACGTTTGGAAACGAAGTTTACAAGTCAGAGTATTAATAAATAAGTATTAATAAATTTAACTCATTACTTCGCACAATTAATCAACATTCTGAGTGAGATGCGTTCCGATTACTGACAGCTGACAATTGGTATGCTAAGAAAAGTTTCTGAATAATTTTTGGAGGAATGGTATACCATATTTTGTATCTCTACTTAAAATATGAAGTTTTGAGATTTCTTCTAGCTAACTTCATCAGGAGCTTTAAAGCTCTTTCGCTTAAGCTTTGAATAAACATACTGAAGACTTAACCTGACAGCTGACAATTGACAAGTTAAAATATGCTCTGAGATCTAGAAAGTCCCTATATTGCACATAATGACTTTGGTGCGCTGTAATGATTGCTATTTTACATTATAAATAATATAATTTTAAAGATCTTTGCGAACCTGACAGCTGACAGTTGACAAATGACAAGGCAAACATATTTTGGAATACTAGCTGCTAATACTAAAATAGAATACATCAACAAAATAATTGTAAGTACTTACAGCTGACAGGTGGCAACGTATGAACTCTTTACTTATAATAATTAACACAGCGAATTAAAAAGATTGACAGGTTATTTACTTCTTATAATTTATCATTTCGAGCATTAAAATGTATACTATTGGATGAGTGCATAAGTTCGTGCCCGATTTCAAGTGCAAACTAAAATTGAAATTTTTTGAAGAAAGCAGTTTTATTAATCCATTATGTATTCGCCATCATGTTCGGTAATCCACTCCCAATGTTCAACCAATTTACGGATGCCTGATTCATAGAAATCGCGCGGTTTCTCGTTGAAAAAGGTGTCAAGGTGGTTTTTGACGTCTTCCACATTTTTAAATTTTTTTCCATTCAAATTGTTCTGCAGCGATCGAAACAAATGATAATCAGAAGGTGCAATGTCCGGTGAATATGGGGGATGCGGCATGATTTCCTTACTGTTTTTCCTTTGTGGAATTCGTATAACATAGTATGACGCATATGATCTTTTTCGTTGTCCATCTTCCATGCGTCTTTTCACTAAGCAACTCAGATCAAAATGAAGTTAATTTATGCTTGATTTACAGTTCGGACTGTCACCTTTCCAACGATATATAATATGTATATATTTATTTCACGAGCGCCACTCTCAAACGATTCGAACGGCATCCAGCAGAATCGGGCACGAACTTATGCACTTATCCAATAATAACAATTCATCTTGACAACTGACAGATGACAAGGTTTTGAGCGCGGTTGGAAGATTTTTGGTACTCAATTTAATAATTTCTTCGATAACACACTCAGAATATAAGTTCGATGAGTTCAAATATACAGTCTGACTGCTGACTAGTGACAACTGACAAGTCTAAAATTTAGTTTTATTTTTAATTTGCATATGCCTCACTCTGTTAAACGAAGAGCACAAGTTAAAAGGTAGCTAGAAAATTTCCCAACGATTTAAAGTGTTGAAAATTCGTAGAATTGTAATTCAATTAGCGCTCAACCATATGAAAGAGCGAGATGAGATGCCTACAAGGCTTATAAATGCATTAAGCTATGAGAGCATGCAGGGTTGCATAGTCAGTACATATAGTTCATCAGTGAACTACTCGTACAAGTGAATTGATTGAGGCGCCAAAAAGCAATTTGAGTTACTTATACGCTTACAAATTGGCGGAGTTGTTTTTGCATTTGTTTTTCTGTATCTTCAACACTCTTATCCTTGAAGGACGTTTACACACGTAATACCTTACCTTAATATGTGCCTTTCCACTTTCTTCGTCTCTTTTACCTTGCATATTCTCAGTTCCTTTGCATTGCGTGGCATACCAGCTGTCAATTTTATTATGTTATTTTCTTCTTCTTCTTTTTTGTAGCGTATATTTCCATTTACATTGCTGTGTGTTTTACGATCGAACGATTTATTGCTATACGTTACCCGCTTAAACGGCAGACATTCTGTACGGAATCGTTGGCTAAGAAAGTCATTACAGGTGAGTGGCAGAGTGTGAAAGTGAATGTGCATATTAGTGATGTGTCTTTATTGGTGATGTGTAAAAAGTTATCGTTTCATATGAACACTGAAAATTTAGATTCAATAGTTTGATTTGTTGAAAGTTCAATAAAAAATGAAATTTGTATTTAATGAACTATTAATAGGCAATTCATTCAGTATTTCGCTATTTTTAAACTAGAAAGCATTTCGAAAAATTTTTTCATTAATCAGTAATTTATCGATAAGCTAATATTTTTATTCCATAAATTAAATATAAATTACATAACGCTATAAATCGATAAATGAATATTCAAAGAAATTGTCCTAATCTTTTCGCCTCTTTTGCTGATAACTGTATGTTCAATAATAATTGCTGTTGTACAGATATATCGATAAGTATAAAGAACTAAATATATTTACTTGTACTTCTAAAAGACTAAAAAGTGAAAAGTCGAGTGTTGGAGTTATCGATACATAAATTAGTACGACTTTAATTTTATTTGCTTATAAAAATCAATAAAAAAAAATTACTTGAGTTAAAAAAAAATTGGTAATCGAACGATATAGTTTATTTGTCACAAGAAGTGTATCGAAAAATATCGGAAAATAATATGTACTTGAGCACATTTGGTGATATAAATACAAGTGAATATAAGTTAATATAAGTACACGTGTATGTTGATCAGCTGCGAGCTCCTCCTCCAATTTGTGGCTGTGCGTCTTGATGTTTTTCCAACGAAATGAAGGGACCTAAAGTATATACTAAACCGCCTCTATACGGCTGATGGTTTCTTCATTTCATGTCCGAAATACGCTCTGAGGGGTGGACATTTCCTGCCGAGGGGCGACCACAATTAGAAAATTTAACTTAAATTTTTATTAAAATTAATTTTCCATAACATTTGGATGTTGGGGGATCATAGATCATACATGAATGAAATAAGAGATAAGACTTAAAAAATTTGAAAGTCGATTGTTGGAATATCGACACACATTCAAATTTTAATGCACATATCTCTTTTTTTTTTTACAAAACCTTAATGATATGTGCATATTTGTAGTGAAGATTCATATAGTTTTTTAAAAATTAAAAATTAAAAAGTCGATATTTCGTGATATCGATAAAAGACGCTTATATTATTGTACATATCCTTAAATAAAATTACAAATCCTATATTACCTAGAAATAAAAGAAGCGTAAAGTTTGAATATCGATTACATTTTTTTTATCGATTGCTAAATTTAGGATTCTATCAGATATTTGAATCAGTGTCTTAAATATTTTCGGGAAAGGTATTTGTTTTTATTAGCTGAATTGCGCAAAAGAACAAATGAATTACGAAAATGTTTAATGGTCGATTAATTTTTGTTATCGAAAAGTAAATTGCCTACATTACTTTTAAAACAATTTAAAAAATTTGAATTAATCATATATTTTATTTCTGAAAAATTAAAATGTTTAAAGTCGATAAATTATTATTTTTGGATAACTAAATATGTACATGTGTCACGAACTTATGCACTCATCCAATATTTCAATAAATATGTACATATTTAACCAATAAATCGATATGTCTGAGAAATATTATATCTCGTAGTATTCGTGAGGAATTACAACAATTGAACAAAATTAAAAAAGGTACATTTTTCTATATTTTTGTGTTATCGATAAATAGAAGTATTTAAATATTGGCATATGAAAATAAAATAGTATGAGAAACAAAAATGCGGGAATTTTCGAACTTGCATTGAAATAATTTATAAGATATATGCGCAAGATGTACGATTTTTTGTGGTATCGATAATTAAATTCAACAAAGTTTTTCTACTATGTAATACACATTATTGAAAATTTGAAATTATTTAAATTACAAATTAAATATCAATTAAAATTATTTAAAAAATTTATATATGTATTACTTTAATTTTTGCATACTATAAAAAATTATACCAAGAATTTACAGTTTGTAAATAATCATCTTTTCGATTAATATTGTTATCGGCTATTAGATTGGCCTCAATTGGCGCGGACTTAAATTAAAATCATGTAAGCAAATAGGAAGGTGTTTGTAAAAGAAATATAAATTATTTTGCTATTAATTGTTTCATCGATATTGTTATTCACTGAAATTGTTTTAAATTCAGTCAGATGATTTAAAAAAAAAAATATTTTTTGGTTATTTATGTTATCGTTAACTACATTCCTTGAAATTTGTAAAAGAAATATAAAATATTTTTCGATTAATTGTGCTATCGATAATTCATATTACTAAAATTTTTTCTGAATTACGTCAAACTACTTAAATAAAAATATTTATTTCTCGATTATTTGTGTCATCGATAATTAAATTCATTGAAATCAATGCATATATCAATGAAACAATATTTCAGCAAAAATAGTTTCGAATTCGCGTGAGGCATCAAAATAATTTGTAAAAATTAAATACGAAATCTATCGATTATTTGTGTTTTTGATAAATCAATAGTAAGGAAATCGATAAACCAACAAAAGTTTTCGGCATTGTAATAAAGCATTAAAAAAATTTATAAAAAGGAAAAAACAAAAATCGATTACTTCTTTTATCGATGATTACACAAATCAAATTTTCACACATCACTATGTTGCAATTATACCTTTACATAAGTGCTCGTATATGTAGCTGCATGCTTTCGTTTGATGATATTTACGCACGTTTACCCTTATAAAGTCGAAAGTCTGTAAAGCAACAGCAGCAACAACAAACCCAGTATGTACAAAAATTAATGTAATACAAAACATGCGGAGGCTGTATGCCACACACAATACACAAACTGCTGTACAATACCTTCCGGTATAATATGTTGCTGTCAGTTGGCCCGCATTTTTGTCACGATTGTTGCTGGTGTCGTTGGTCTCTTGCCACTTCATTGAGGGCCAAAAGAGAAGAAGAAAAATGTCCATTTATTTTTCCATATTTTTTTCACGCTTTCAACTTTACATATATCATTTTGTTTTTGTTTTGTGTTTTCTTTTTTTATTTTGCCCAAAAATCCAAAACAGGCGTCGCACTCTTCTGTCTCTTCTCCACCATTTCGACATCTTTCGAGCATCAGTATCGCATCGTTAAGAAATCAATTGATATCCATGGGCAGGCGTGTAATATAACGCAAGCGAATGCGCCCGAGCGGCTGTCATGGCTACAACTGAATTACAACGAAAGTGTGCGACAGCAGCAACAACAACAAGAACATCGAGAACAGCAACGAGAAGACAACGAGCCACATTTACCGTTACAACATTATATGCCATTGCCAAAATCACCAACGACACCACATATCGATTTCGAAGGTAGCGGTCAATCTGCTGCCGCTGCTTCTGCGCCTGCCACAGATGAACGCACAGACCACACCGAGCAACACCAACACCCACACTGGCATACACGTGCCGTTGTGGACTACCTAGCAGCAACTGGGGCAGCAGCGAATAAAGAGAACAATTTGGTCAACAGAGGCAGCAATAATGAAGAAGATGGCGGAGGTGCGGTAGGCGGTGGTGAGTTGCGTCACGCGTGGCAGCCTAAACCGGATGTAATATTGCGTCGATTGAAACGTACAGTGCAGGCGAGTGAAGCAACGGCCAACACAGGCACGACACACATGTCGGCTTACAAGCCTTCAACATCACCAACACTTATTTCCTTAGCTACTACACCTTTGCCGCTAGTGGCGTTAACAACTGGCTGGACGAGGTCAACGACAACGCTTGGTTGGAGCATGCGAGCAGCAGAAACGGTGACAACCGAGACGGTAGAAGTGGAAGCAAAAGCAGTATTGCAACGAGGCACACGCAGTGTCGAGAAACTCAAAGGTAAGTAATATAGGCACTGTGTCAGTAGGTGTAGGTAGGCAGGGGGATTGCACGAGGTATGAGCGCTGTAGATTGGCGTCGCCCTATGAAATTGGCATAAATACTCGTACTATCAAAATATACTCGTGCACGTGTGCGTGAAGTAAAGAAAGGCTACATGACGTGCTTAAAGCTGAGGTTTTCAACGCTTGAATGCCTGCACAGCGATTGTGTTGTAAATTGAAAGTAGGCAGGAGGGAAACATGTTTTTGTTACGCAGTTAAACACATTGGAGAGCTGGGTTATATGGGCTCCGAGTTATATGTAAATTATTAGGGACTTTGAAGTCATAGAGGTACCATAATCTTTCTCCTCGGCGACTCTAGTAAGAGGTAAGCTCATGGTAGGGTCTTGGGTGACAAAAGTTTCTGGGAGAGCAAACGGTGAACTCCATCACAAGTGGATCGAATAGCGAGATTTTAGAAATATAGAATCTGGACTGTCCCCAAATCTTGATAAACGGTTTGGTGGGGTTACAGCTTATCCTACAGCCGAGTTCATAGATCGCTTGGTCGGGAGATTGATATCGCTGGAGTCCTCGAAAAAATTACCATCTTGGGCATGGTTTACTTATCTAAATTCAGCAAAAAATCGTTGTAGCTTCCACATAAATGTTATCTAAGCGCAGACTCATAGAGTGGGAACCTTAAATCTGGTGATCGCACCAATCGGTAGCTGACTTATCCTTAGCTCCTGCGTCAACTAAGCGCACAGTAGGCTAGGACCCATTTTTAAAAGGTTGACAATTTAAGTGTGGTACAGAGTGGGTCTTGTGCTTCCGTCTTGTGCTTCCGAAATTAAATCATCTGGCCAAAGAGGTGATTCTGACTAGACATTGTCTGAACGGACTCTAAGCGAAAACCTAGACAGATATTTCCATACTTCAAGAAAGCTGCTGGCTAAATCCTGTATATCCTCATCTAGAGCTTCGTCTTCTTCTTGTAAAAAAAGAGTCATAACTCATCTAAAAAGACGTTTTTATACCGACCCAACTATCTTTCTTCTGTATGTTCTATGAAATAAGATAGACCAAGAGTCAATAGTTTAGGAGGAAAGACATATCTCTAACTCATAGTGGTGCTCTTAAGCATAAAGAGACATCCCTTATCTCTCTATACCAACCCAACTTCGGTATTCTCCGCGAGACAAAATTAACTAAGGGTCATTATTTTAGGAGAAAAGAGTCGTCACCCCTTTATATAGATTTTCTTATACCAATCCAACTGCCTTTCGTTTTTATGTACTATGAGATATGATAGATGATGTTTTTGACTGAAAGACCTAACCTCTTTCTTTCTTCTCTTATATATTTTTATTAATTTTCTCTTTCCGTTTTATTCTCTTTCACTTAGGCGGTCCGATTCACACAGCAGCTGAGACAAACATTCCCAGAATGGTTACGAACTTCTTCTCCTTAGATAACCGACCAGATCTCTTACTGGATTCCGAATTTCTAGTGAGCGCAGCTACGCCGCTTAAGGGCAACGATGTGGAAACTGAACCAAAAGCAGCCGAACTGCCTGATGGCGTTGAACAAGAACAGCAGTTTGGCGATTTATTGGATATTGATGGCTGGACAGCAGACGAGGAGCCGGTGCGCGAAGTGCATGATGCGGAGGAAACAGTGTTTTTTAATATCACAGAATATTGTAAGGAAGTGAGTGAAGAGGATATTAGTGCTGGAGGGTTTTTGACATATTTTTTTTAATTTTGTTGCATATTTTTTAATTTTTCTGTATATTTTGTACTTTCTTTTGATTTTTTTTAATACATAAAATTTTTCACACACATTTAGGTCACCTACTTCGTCAACAGCGTCTCGGAATTGGGCGAGAATGCAACATATACACGCCTGTGGTACTTTTTCACGCTCTTCGTCTTCGTGCTTATACCGTTATTACTATTGGGCACCTTTAATTGTTTCCTCATCATGTTGGTGCGTCGCTCGAAGAATTTACGTGGCGAAATGACGAACGCGAATAGTATACGACGTTCACGAATGAGCGGCAAAGGGGTGAGTATGTGTTGCTGGTGGAGCTTCAGGAGCTTCACTGTATTTGAAAGCTTTTTAATTTCCCTCCTTTATCATTTCTTTATTCAACAGCCACGCAAATCTCACTCTTCATCCGTCTCGCAGGAGAATCGCATAACGGTTACACTCATCGCGGTTGTTTTACTCTTCATCATTTGCCAGCTGCCATGGGCGATCTATTTGATCGTTTCGGAAAATGTCCAAATCGATAACAATTTACAAGCAATTATTGGTAATATTTTCAATTTTCTTGCCGCTTTGAATGCGGCAGCGAATTTTTTCCTCTATTGTGTGCTCTCCGATAAATATCGGAAGACGGTACGTGAGCTCATAACGGGTTATAAGTATCGTGCACATGCGCGTAATACCACGGCCACGACGAGCTTGTATGCGAGTACGCATGCGGCGCATTCCGTTAATGGTAGTCGTCGTTATCGACCGGCGGCCTCGTCGATTGTGCTGAAGTAAGGGGTAGTGTGGTAGAATTGAGGCGGTTTGGAGCGAAGTTAGCTCTGTTGAGGCAACGTGCGCGAATTTGATTATTTTTTGTATTTAATTTAATTTAGTTTAAAATTTGTGTGTTTATCGAATTATTATTGTTGTTGATGTGTGCTATGTTTGCGCAAATTTGTTATAATTTTTTTTAAATTTAAGTAATATTAGTTAGTATTTATTAATGTAATTATAATATATTATATAATTTTAAAATTATACTAATTAATTAAATTAAAGCCTCGATTAAATATTTACTTAAGTATATAATTATGCTATAATAATTTTATGTGGTAAATAAATAAATAGTATATATTTATATAAATATATAACTATGTATATGCAAATATACTGCATGCTGGCTAAGTATTCAGTTAGAATTAAGTAATCAGTTATTTAGAAACCTTAAGCAAATGAGTCACAAAAGTTTATTTAATTTAAATTAATTTTCCTATTTGTAATTAAAAAATTAATTATTATAAATTGTAATAAATATTTAAAATTAATAAAATATATTTTAATAAATAAATAAACAAAAATATCAAAAAAAATAAGATGGGTGAAATTTAACTAATTATTCACCAGATGGTGAATGGAGATTGTTTTGGTAGACAGCTAAACGGCAATGAGAGAAGTGAGTTTGAGTGAACAGTCATGAAATTCAGTGTTGCCAGAACTTTTTCACCAATCCAATAAAATGAGCCAAAAATGGCAACTGAAATCGACCCAAAAAAAAAGAAAAAAAAAATGAAACATGAATTAATTAAAGCTTCATTAATTTTTTCATGAAGAAACACACACATGATATAAAATTTAAATCTTTTACAATTAAAAACTGCAGCTCATGTCACTGTCTGCAAGGAAATTGATAGGCCTACCACACATTGCTGGCTACTCAAAGAAGCTCGATATGTGGGTGTCACATGAGCTAATTAGAAAAAACCTCAAGGGCCGAATTTCCATCCGCCAATCGCTGCTGAAGAAAAATCTGCAAGCTGCTCGTAACAAAACCGACCCATTTCTGAAGCAGGTGGGGGTTGTTGATGAAGAGTGGAACCGCAACATAAAATGAAAACTGTCTTAAGAGAAAGGCAGTAAGCCGGCACAAACAAGATGTAAATTACGCCCAGGAAGCTGAGTTGTGTGCTTGGTAGGGTGAACAAAAAATTATCCACTATGAGCTGCTTACCTATAGCCAAGCTTTTAACTCTGAACTATACTATACTGTCAGTTATTGGACCCAGAAGGGTCCAGCTTTAGCCAACAGAAGGGGAATTCTTTTTCATCAGGTCAACGCCATACCATACACATCGTTAGTGACTCGTCAGAAGCAGGTTCTTATGCGTCCATATCATAGCACGGATCTCGCAGCAAGTGACAGCCAATATGCTTCTGTCCATGGTAAATGATTTGGCTGATGAAGAATTGGCCTCAAGAGAAGAATACGAAAATTGATGATAGAAATTTTTTGGCCAATAGGGAGAGGCAAATGGCATACAATTTTCAAGCAGAATTGTAAAAAAGCCATAAAATTTTACCAGATCTAATTTTAGTTAACGGATCTACAAAATACATAAAACTTGTTTTTTTCATGCCTAAATTGGATGATATTGATGTTGACGATCTTTGGTACCAACAAGACAACGCTACATGCTATACAGCCAACGAAACAATAAATTTATTCAAGGAAATTTTTGTTGAGCGCATTATCTCACGTCGTCAGGTGGGCCGTGGTCTTCGTGCTAACTAATCATTCACCCTCTGGAGAGCATACACAGAAATTGAACTGCTCTGTATTAACTGTCGCTGCGGTTGAGTAACAGTGAATTGTGACCCCTGAAAGGACATGCCATTGCACCACAACCAGAAAACCTGTATGGAGCAATTTTATATTCTCTACTTTCGTTTCATAGATTCCACATATTTTTTTAATTTGCCATTCATCCTTTCGTTATGCTTACATACCAGTATGTGACACACTTTAAGCCAGAAAAAGTAGTAAAAAAATGAAAAGTCTCATTAAGCGAAAGCCACGTGACTGTGCGGTCAATAAACTTTTAATAAAACCATGCAGAAAGAAAAGACTCGAATTTGTTGTTGCCTCAGACAGCTTTAAACTTAAAGGGGAAAAAATTACACAAAAAAATGAGGGGGAAAAAATCGCATCAAACACAGGCATAACAAAAAAAGCTGATAGCAGCAAAGTAGCTGAAATAAGAGTACTAGCGAAAAATTGATTACCCTTTATCTATATACGAAAACTGAAAGACACAATAAAGCAGATTTAAAAGAATAGCAAAATATTTTTTAAATGTAATAGAAAAAGTACTTGAAAAACGTAGAAAAAATTAAAATTTAATCTAAAAAATTTAAATTTAATTAAAGAAAAGTAGACAAAAACAAAAAGTTGTAGAAACAAAAGGTAAAATAAAATGTCATTGCACTCTATATAAATAATGGCAGACAAATAAATGGTTATTTTATAAAAAATGTAGTAAAATCAGTTGCAGGAAAACACGTTGAAAACCATATTTCTAAAAAATTTTTAAAATTTTATAAAGACACCACAAATGAGAAACTGAAATTTTTAAAGAGTAGTACAAATAGTAGCAGAAAAAAGTAGTGAAAAAAATATTGTTCAATTATGCATTATTTATTATTTGAAAATGTGCAGATGCATAAATAAGAATTTAAAAAACTAATTTCATTTAAAAAAAGTAGTAGGAAAAAGTACTTAAAATGTGTAGTGAAAAAATTATTTCTACGCTAAGTTTTAAAATAGTAGAAAAAATACTACTACATAGTAGTGGAAAAAATTACTTAAAAAACGTAGTCAAAAATAGATTACTGTTGAGTTGCATCTGAAAATCGAAAAACTAGAAAACGACATATTCTAAAACATAGCTTAATATAATATTACGAATATAGTATGAGTGGTTTCAAGAAAAGTCTGGCAAGGACATTTATCAAATAAATATTAAATAAAAGTGAACAGAAAGCAAAATTTAAAAATATTATTAAAAAAAGGTAGTAGAAAAAGTCACCAAAAATGAATTATTTTTGAACTAAGTCTAAAAAAGTATAGAGAACAAAACATATACTGAAAAAATTAGTAACGTTAAAAAAGTAGTAAAAAATAGTACTTAAAAAGTAGTGAAAATTGTTGTTTGAATAAATTAAACAAATTAAAGAGAAACAAAGAGTAAGATTTCATTATATACCTAAATATTAAAAAGGTAGTAGAAAAAGTACTAAGATTGGGAAACAAAAGTAAAATTTTTAGCAAACTAAAAATGTCAAAAGACAACAACTGATATTCAAAAAATAGTTGATACAAAGATATTGGTAAAAGTTTTGGAAACTCGGAATAAAATAAGTGATAGAATAAATGTAGTGGAAATTAAAAAGTTAAAGGAAGAAAAAAATGCAAAATAATGAAAAAGTAGTAAAAAAAAGTTACTAAAAACCGTTTTAAAAATATACAACTGTTTAAAGAAAGTTTAATGAAGAGTTAGTAGAAAATTAGAGAAAATAAAAAATTGTTTAAGTAAAGCTTAGTGAAAAGTTAGTAGAAAAAGATACTAAAAACTGTTAGAATATATTTGAGAAATGGGAAATGGAGGATTAGAACGTTAATAACAAGGTGATAAAAAAAGTAGTAGAAAAGTAGTAGAAGTAAAGAAAAGTAGCAGAAAAATTAGTTGTAGTGAAAAACCCGAACCTTTGTTGAGCTTTATCTGAATAATGTAAGTTATGCAAAGTAGAAAACTAGCTAAATATTAAAAAAGTAGTAGAAAAAGTACAAAGTACTTCGTGAAAATTTAAATATTTAACTTAAAATGAAAGAGATTAAAAGAAGAAAAACTCAAATGCCATGATATTTCAAGCATAAAATCGATTGATAGTGAAAACGCAGTAGAAAATAATCGTTTGCCCCAACCAACTCTTTCCTACTCCAAAAAACTAGCTTCCCCCTTAAGTCATATTTAACGACACTGGTGAATTTAACATTCATAATTTGCAAATTGAAAGTCATTAAAAATAAATACAATTTTTATTTTCCATATTTTATGGCCATTAATGTCATAAAATTTTTTTTCTTTACCTCTTTTAGTATTTTTGTATTTTTCTAGCAGCAATTCATAGTTTATTTTTTTCTCTTTCTATGCTTTCCCCAATAATTTTGCGACATTTTTCCAGATTTTTCTCTTAACAAATATGGAGTAAATGTATGTTTGTCATTAAATCTTTCTCCATAAACTTAAAAACGCTTAACCCCACCACAAGGCGGCAACGCTGGCGCTGCGCTGCCATGGCGCGTCATCAAACTGATGTATGCAATTAACTTTGGCTCAACATATTTTTAAGTGTAATGCAATAAAATTTTGCACAGCTTTTAGTTTTTTATGACTTCTGAATATGCTGGAGAGAGAGAGAGACAAGAGAGTAGGAGAGCGAGTCTGATACAAAAAGACTGGAAAATGGAGGAAAAACAGAAATATGCGGTTTCTCTTCTTCTTTCCCTTGCTTTTATCGCTCATTAATAGTGCCAAGGGCGTCAGAGGCTACCCAAAGAGCTGTAGGAGGCAAAGTGTTGCTCCTTTTTAAAAAGGATCGTTAAGGGCAACCAATTAGAATTTATGCGGCGTAAAAATTTGTAAATGTTCACCAAGAGTAGATGGAAGCTTATATATGTACAGAGATAAGTAAGAATGAAATACAGAAGAGTACATTTATGTGATAAATGTGAAAATATGAAGAGATTTACTACTAGCGCTGATTATTTGAAAAAGTAGTAAAATGTCAGTCAAAGGCAAAATAGTTCGAGACAGACTTTTACTGTCACAAATAAAAGGAAGAAAAAACCGTAGTAAAAATTTTAAGTAGTTGCAGACATGTTCATGGATTTATGAATACAAAGAAATGTTAAAGAGACAACTGAATTCTTAAATTTCATAAAGAGATCATCAATTTCAATACAGGAAGTTTTTAAAACAAATTTAAGAAGGGAGAGCAATTTTAAATTAATGATGTCGCGTCAACTAAGCGATATTCAACCCACCACAAACGAATAAGTTCTGCTGACGAAATCTGCAGCTCGAAGAAGACTGAAT